CGGCTTCCGTTATGGCCTGTTGGCCGCAGCGTGCTCCTTTGCATCCACCTCACAGGTTTTAGTTTGATTTCAGGTTATTTAATTCTGCATGATTACATCCCAAGCCTGCAAACACAGTCATTCCTCTTATTCACATTTGACAAAAGAAATAAGCCCAAGTTATGATCTTTTTATTTATGAGTTTTGCTTGAAAGGAAATGGAACTGGCTGGAAGCTTCTGCGCCTCTGGGAATTATCGGGGAATTAAGTCAGGAAGAGATGAATAATAGACCTTCTCTAAAGCAAAAACCTTTGCTCACAGGGCAATCTTATGAATAGCCACAAGGCCTTTTTAAATTTTTACTTTTGTAAAAAAGGGATAAAATAATTTCAGCAACTCCAAGCGTAGTTTTCCAAGAGCCCTGCTCATGCAGCAAGCGCTCAGCTGCCTTTTCGTGCTGGGACGGGCAGTCTGATGGGCGAGGCCCGTGGACCCCAGCCCCTCCCTCCACCCCACAGCTCTCGCTGTGCAGACCCCCACCTGTGTACACTGGCACACCCAGCTCCTGGGCCTCCTGTGGGCACACTCGTCCTGCGTGTTCCGTGAAGCTCCAGCCCTGCACTCACACCAGAGGCTTCGGCCACAGCTTCCTGGGCCTTGTGCATTGTTCACTGGGATTCTGTGCAGTCCAGCTGGAAGAGGAGTAGGCAGGGGAGGGGAGGGAGGTTGCTGTGAGGTGCGGCTCTCCTGCCTTCCCCCCCCACCCCAGGGACTCCTGCCTCACAACTACACTGGTTTTATCAAGCTGCACGATTGCGTGGGCCACATCGCCTACCCACTGGTGACTGTCCACTGTAGACCCAGGGCCACATGCCCACTAGTCTCCACACCCCTTACTCCTCTGTGGGCCTCGAGCCCTGACGCGCCCTAGCCTCACGCTGGTGTTCAGAACACAGGACACGGGCCGCTCAGGGCCTCGAGGCCACAGAAGCGCAGAGCAAGGAGCCCCCGCGGCCCCTGTGTCTGCCCCGCGTTCGGCAGGCCGCTGTGGTCTCCCAGTACCTCCTCTCCTACCTTCCCTGCCAAGTCCGCGTCGGCCTGCCACTCTCTACCCTGAGGCCTTGCTCGGCCCTGGACCTGTCTGTGTCCCTTTCCCGGGGACTGCTTCCTTGGGGTTGGTTCCAGTCCCACCGCAGGCATGTCCATCCCAGGCCCGAGCTTCCTTCTGGCCAGAGGAGTCTGGTGTTGCTTCCAGTATCCCCAGGCAGGACCTGGAGGGGGAGATGGCCGTTTGGGGATCCACGGCCCCTGGTTCCGCACACTCACTGCCACTTCTGTTTGTTCGTTTGCAGTATTTTTATATTGCTTCCCTGCAATCTCCCTCCTTGGGCTCTTCCCGCAAATCGACACTTTCTGCATTTACCTTTTGGAGCAAATCGACATGCTGCTTTTTGGAGGTTCAGGTGAGTTGTTCACCCCCTGCTCCCCATGAAGACTCCGGGGTCAGAGGGCTCGACACCATGGCAAGGACGGCACTGTGCGGGGTCGCGTTTTCTCCGTCCTGGTCCTGAGCCTTTCGAGGGCTTTCGTTGTGTCAGGGGCAGGAGGGTGGGCCCGGCCAGGTGCGTTGAGCCCGTCTGGACGAGGCCACCAGCCTGGCCAAGAGCACAGGGGAGCAGAGGACGCGCTGCGGTGGGGTCGTGCAGCCCTCGGACTTGCCCCAGAGGATGTCTGTCCGGCGAGTGTGCGTGAGCACATGAGCCGATGTAAGTGTGTGAGCCTGGGTCTGCACACACATGCCGCTCCGGGGAGTGTGACATTACGAGTGTGTGAGCACGTGAGCGGATGTAAGTGTGTGAGCCTGGGTCTGCACACACACACAGCTCTGGGGAGTGTGACATTACGAGTGTGCATGAGCACGAGAGTGGATGTAAGTGTCTGAGCCTGGGTCTGCACACACACGCAGCTCTGGGGAGTGTGACATTATGAGTGTGTGAGCACGAGAGTGGATGTAAGTGTGTGAGCCTGGGTCTGCACACACGCGCAGCTCTGGGGAGTGTGACATTACAAGTGTGCGTGAGCACGTGAGCGGATGTAAGTGTGTGAGCCTGGGTCTGCACACAC